AGCACTCTGGGAGGCCGAGGTAGGTGGAATGCTTGAGCTCATAGTTTGAGACCAAACTGAGCAAAAGTGGGACCCCACCTCTACTAAGAATAGAAAAAACTGAGGCAAGAGGATTGCTTGCGTTCAAAAGTTGGAGGTTGCTATGCGCTGTGATGCCACAGCACTCTATCCAGGGTGACAGCTTGAGACTCTGTCTCAAAAAAAATTTTTTTTCTTATTATATCTACCTTTACCTCCTTATCCCTCATACATTTAAAATCATTAACTGTGGGTGGCGCCTGTGGCTCAAAGGAGTAGGGCACCAGCCCCATATGCTGGAGGTGGTGGGTTCAAACCCAGCCCTGGCCAAAAACTGCAAAAGAAAAAAAAAAAGAAAGAAAGAAATCACTAACCGTAAGTCCAGGTTTATAGGTGCAGTTAAGTCAGAAACTGATTCTGACATTATTTTTTGCCTTATAATGGATTATTAGCAGGTAGTAGCTTGAATTACAGTTGTGTAGATCAAACAGTTAGCTTTAACCATGCACAAAACAAAACAGTTCATAATCTACTCAGTTTTGCCTAATCTTAAAAAAAATCTTAACTGGGATAGGTATGGTGGCTCATACCTATAATCTTGGCACTCTTGCCACTTTCCTTGGCACAAGGAAAGAGGACTGCTTGAGATCAGGAGTTTGAGACCAGCCTGAGCAAGAGTGAGACCCTGCCTCTATCAAAAATAGAAAAACTAGCCAGGTGTTATGGCAGGTGCCTGTAGTCCCAACTACTTGGGAGGCTAAGGCAAAAGAATCACTCAAGCCCAAGAGTTCAAATTTGCTATGAGCTATGATCATGCCATGGCACCCCACTCACGGTGACAGAGTGAGACTCTGTCTCAAACAAACAAACAAACTTTAAAAAAAAAAAAGGAAAAAAACTTAAAAAAAAAAGCAAAAAAACTTAAGCAAAAAAAATTAACTGTAATAAATTAGCAATGCCTAAATATCCTAATTAATATAAGTAAGTTGTATTCTATTTTGACAGACAGCAGAATGCTGGCAACAGTGTGGTATAGGGCATGATATTTTACTTTGCTGTACCTCCATTTCCTCATATGTAATCATCTCCCATCCATTATTAGCAGTATTATTTAGAGCAAAGGGGAAAGAAAAAAAGTCAAATGAGTGGCACAACTAAACAACAGGTGTTAAATCATTATATCTAACTTATAGTTTCCTAATCCTTTTTTTTTTTCTAATCTGACTTTTGAAAAAAGCTTGGGCTTTCTAGGTATAGAAATGTATATAGTAATTTGGGGGCAAAAGCCTGTAGCAATCTGGGGGCTGTGAGAAAACTATTACTATTGATAATAGAGAGGTGGTATAGCAGAGTGGTTTAGAGCCTTTGGAGCTAGACTCCCTGGATTTGAGTACTACATCTACTAATCATTTGCTCTGAAACCTTGGGAGGTTATTTAACTTCTGTGTGCTAACTCACTCATGCGCAAGATGAGATGACAATAACAACTCTCTTACAGTGTTGTTTGTAAGGATTAACAATGCCTGCTATCAATATTTCTTCTTCTCTATTATGCCACTATCACTACAACCCTATAACCAGCTAACCTTTATTGAGTACTTAGTATGTGCCAAGCACCATTTTAAGTACATTACATATTTTATTGAATTTTCTCAACAACCCAAAGTACATATTAATATCATCCAAACTTACTGAGAAGGAAATAGGCACAGAGATGTATGTTGCCTGTCCAGAGGTACACAATGAGTAATATATATACTAAAGACAAGACCTCCCCCTTCTATAAATCCCTTTCCCAAGGGGATGGTGGATGTTTGTTATTTTCAGATTTTTCTGCTCCCAGATTTGCAGGATAGGGATAAATAGGATCAGGGCACTGAAAATGACAGTAAGACTGCTACTCTACTTGCCTATACTGTACACACAAAAGAAGATGTATTTCCCTAAGTATTTATACTTACATTTCCTTCCTAATTATAAAAATACATATTCACATTGTAAAATGCAGAAAATCATTCTGTGATTTTTAAAGGAAGCATGGTATAAAAGTTGGTTTGTATAAACTTCTACTTTAAAAAAAACCTTAAATTTTATAAGATTTTTAAAAGAAAGTGTATCATTTCCCCTGTGAACATGTAAGAAAAAACAACAATTTTAAAACTATGAGTTTCTTAACTATAAAAAGGTAGAATGGGATTTTGGACATTTGGACTGTTACAGAAATTCTAGAAAACTAAAAAGGAATAATTATCCTATTTTGATGTTTCTATACTCATAATCCAATTGTTGAAATCTGCTACTATCTATTGGAAACCCTGTTGTTGGCAGAGGGTCCTTGTTAAGTGCTCTATGAACTATGTTAGATAAGCGTGGCTAATAATATCATTATAACGGATGTGAGATTACCCTTTCTGTCCTATCGGCACAAAATAATCGAGTGTGATGTCTCTTCTGAACTACAATATAGGTTATTCCGGGTTGATAGTCTTTCTCCAAACTGATGCAGGCTTCTCGAATTGCCAGTAATTCATAATATAATACCTAGAGAAGATAAAATGGAAAGGCTCAATATAGTCAATTGTTCACTTTTATATATTTCAAAGTAAGATAATGATTTAGTGCCAGAATTTCTTGATCTCATCCCTCTATAGTTAAATATATTATGCTTCTCTATTCTACTTTAACTATTATCAGGGCATGGTCTTAGTAATCGAGGCCTACACATCTATAATGAACAGTTACAAAGAAAAAATCTAGGCTGAGATACAGAACATCTGAGTAATATAATTAACAAACTTGACTTAATAGATATGTCTGAAACTTGAAACCCTCAAACCAGAAAACAATAATTCTTTTAAAAAACCCAAAGAGGCTAGCTGTGGCAGCTCATGCCTATAATCATAACACTTTGAGAGGCCAAGGCAAGAGGACTGCTTGAGCCAGGAATTTGAGATCAACCTGGGCAAAAGAGCAACACTGCATCTCTATAAAAAAAAATTGGCCAGGCGTTGTGGCATGTGCCTATAGTCATAGTTACTTGGAGGCTAAGGCAGGACGATTGCCTGAGCCCAGGAATTCAAGGCTATAGTGAGTTATGATCATACCACGGCATTCCATCCTGGGCAGCAGAGTGAGACTCTGTCTCTAATT